TGACTACAGGAGCCCCCTCTCTGGCGAGGGTTAGACAGTCCTCTGACAAATGTGCACAAACACAGACAAAGAGACATGCCTCTTGAGGGCAGAGGGTCGAATTACAGCCAGTTAACAAACAGCCCCACAGTTGACTTCCGTTTGGCTCATAGCAAATGCGTGTCACCCTCCCCTGATTAGTGCTGAATCATGATATTGAGATAAAAGCAGTGGGTGGAGTGTGCCAATGCTTACCAGCCTCCAACTCTTCCCCCTTTCCTTGGGAACAGCTCCCCGCCATCTGTCAGAATTGGAAAGCCCTGGTGGCTTGCAGTAGGTTTTTCCAAAGCTCTATACATGGCTGCTTTTCTCAGTCAGAGACTCTGCTGTGCATGAACCTTCAGCCATATCCAGCCACCGGGCCAAAAAATGGTGTCAGCCTAGCCAAGGCCTCATTGACACCCAAGAAAAATCTCCTTAAGTTGTCTTATTGACCCGGGACATAATCAGATGGGGGCCTGTACATTGGCCAGAAAGGGACATAGTAAAGTTAAGAAAGCACTACCACCAATGAAGCCACTTAAATGTAATTGGACAATGTTTAGCTAAGTGCTATTTAATTGCCTGACTCCTCACTGAATCTTTCATGCAACTCTGTGCCATAAACAAACAAACCACAGCATTGGCAGAGTCTCCCTATTAGTTATTCATGGCTTCATTTCCTTCATATCTCAGCTAGTTCTCTTCAGCACAACATCCAAGCCACGGCTTGTTAGGACAGCTTGCTCCTATGCTGTCGGAAGGATGTGTTTTCAGGCAAAATCAAACTTTTGGCCTCTTTGTTTGATGTTATAATTTTTCTTAAGATCAAGGCTGAATCAAAAAACCTGCCTTCCTTACCTCTTATATATTTTCTTCGTCAACCCCTCGTCCAAACAAACGTTGTGTGATGCTCATAAATTAAATGCATGTCTCCTTAACAGGTACATGATGATTAAAACCATGTAAGATTAAAAAATCTTGTTCAGTTAATCTTGAGAATATTCAATTACTGTATATCAACCCATCTTGTCCGAGACATAAGGGACATGCCTCTACAATGTCACAACACGGCTGTCAGAAATCGTCTGCTGGAACAGAGGGCAAAGAAAGGAAAGGAAAAGACTGGAGCTGTAGCAGTGACATGGCTCCTGGTGTGGCCTCAGGGTCACGGACCAGCTGTGACAGAGAACTCCAAGGTTCTTTGACTTTGACCGACAGCAGATTGGAAGGACAAGGACAAGTCTAAAGCAGCCAAAGCTCGAGTGTGTCATAAATTGGAGAGGTATAGTGAAAGACTTTGCTGTGGCAAAAACATCCCCCTGCAAATTACTGCAATCAGTCTTCCTCATCAATAGAATTTACATCTCAACAACATATGGTGAGCTGCTTTATGCATCTTAACTAAACTTTTATCAAGAGCGGTGAAATATTTCTCAAGTATGGCTGAGTTTCTGTGCCTGTGGAGCGGACTTTAGTGCAGCATTTGTGGTTGCAGATACTATGGCTGGTGGCCCGGATGTTAGTTGGGGGTGAGGGGGCAAATGATTCAATGAGAACATTTTTAATGAACACAACAGATGCACAAACAATCAAAGTCACAGCAAATAGCATAAGTTGAAAACCAAAATCTTTTAATTTAGAAAAAAACAACCACTCAACAACCACAATCCATCTTTAACTTTTATTAGCCTGCTGCGGCTAAAGCTAATATTGGCTTGAAACTCAGCGCACATGACAGGAGATTTCTGTCGAATTACAAAGCTAGATACCACACTTTGTCAACATCCTGATTGTCCTTGGTTTAGCAGCAAGATGTCTTCAACCAAGTAAACATGTTTTTTCTTTTTTGAAACCAAGTGATCCATGAACCATTGCCACCAATTCGAACTTCTTTACCTTATTTTTTAGTGATGAATGGGAGGTTGTTACACCCGGTAGATTGACAGGTGAAGGTCTAAAATGCATGATTTAACACAAGGCGATGTAAAAGCAGGTGAAGATTCAAAATCTAAGCCCAAGGTTCAGTTCACAGAAAAGCTCTCCTCACAAGCAATCAATCCCATATGGTGAATTCATAGGTATCACCCAGAAGCAACTAAAGGCTGGGCCAAGGTGACACTAAAGAGACACAAACTGGCAATGAGAGGGGACACAGACAGGGTATATAAACAAAAGGACAATGCCATTTTAAGACGGGATATTTACCTGGTCTGCAATGTGTAACACATAGAGGTGCCGCACTGTGTGTTCATACCTGTGAGTATCTGTGTATGTGGCGCCCCCCCCCCCCGTGTGTACAAGTCATGCCTCCAGCGCTTCTGTAGTGCCGTAATGCAAAATGTAATCACAAACTGGGACATGAATATTACATCTTTTAGGGACGCAGTGTGTTCGTATAAAGGCATAGGGATGATGAACTTGGTTCCAGCGCTATTGTGGAGTTGGAATGTGTAAGCATGTGTAACCTACACTGTGTAAGAGGCGACAATCGGGGGGGAAATAAGACAAAAGTGAGCAGAGGTTAAACTGGTAGCATAGAAAACACAGGAAGCAGAATTCTAACAAAAACACTACCTACAACAAAAAGCACACACACTGCATACTGCCAGTTCATTTGAGGCAACTTATTATCTTTACTGAGATAAATGTCCTAAATGCTTTATGTCATCAAAGTTATCCTACTGGTATTACAACAAACTACAAGTAAGTGATGATGTTGCACCCCCTTTTTACAGTGTAATATTGTACATTTTGTATTGCTCAATAAAACATTTCCCTCTAAATGTTTTCATACTTGCTCCATTATTCAATAGACTCTTTTAGGGCAGATGTCACAATGGCCCCCTGCAGGCAAAATGAAGCAAAACTGGAGGCTAACATGAATTGCTACCACTGGGTAGGAGGCAGTATGAGGCTTTACTGTCATCATGTCTTGTTGGGTGCCAGTGTCCAAGGAGTCACAGTACTGTCTCATGACTAAAATTACATTATACCAAGTGCTACTGCCTGTCAACAAAAACAAAGAGAACTGTGGTGACTTGTTAAGGCAAGGGGACCGGACAAAGGCAATAATCAAAAATGTTCACGTGTGCAGTGCCCACATCATACAGCACATATTTGCTGTTGTATGATAGATGAAATTATGAGTATTGAGGATTGTCATTAGCCTCTGGTAAGAAATTGGGAAGGCATTCATGGAAAATTTGGATTTAATAACGCAGTTGGGTTTTCATTAACCTCTTAATCACATCAAAATGGATGAAAATGCTTCTTTCATCATCCTTCTATGTTAGAATCCCTCAGTAAGTGTAAGGGCATACAGTGTAAGGAGTTACACACCCTCAGTTTGTCTATACCATACACACACGGTTTTCTGTCAGTTAAGTATAAACCTCCAGCTAATCCACCTCAGGTAAAGTCAAGTATGCGGGTTGGCCAGTTCACTCCCCCTAACTTTTTCAAGCAACTCTCTTGGTCCAGACAGTGAGTGACCTCGCAGACTCATATTGTCTTCCACCACGATTTTGCCTCCAGCTAAGCATCACCCACTCAAAAACATTGTACTATTTACTATTTATGTACTATTTACAAAAAATAAAAGAGTCTAGGTTCAGAATAGTTCCAAGTGAGATTATAGGGACAGTTGTGGCTCGATGGTACAGTTGTCTCTCAGTGGGAAAGTCCTGGATTCAATCCCTGGGTTCACATTCCCAAGTGTCCTTGGGCATTACACTGATCCCCAAGATGCACTCATTGGTGTGAAAATGGGGTTAAACAGCACTGCTGAGTGCATTCAATAATATACATACACTGTCATCGGTGCACAAATATGTTGAGAATGGATGAATGTGACATGCAATGGAAATAAGCTGTATGCAGTGGGTTTGCATTTACTTATGTCCAAAATAGTTTATGTTTTTGTTGTTTTCACCAAAACCTCTATTTACCCTGATCTCAATGAACAAGTGAAACTGTTTGCAAGCTGTGAACATGACACAGTGACGAAGCCTACACAGGAGGCTCTGTCAACATGTGCAGTGGTAAATGTTGGCATTCGCTGCCATCTAGTGGTTTGTGAAAACAGAGTGCAAACTCATTTGTATGGGTCCTCGGGTAGACTGTAAAGAAAGTCAGACACCCTCTGTATCAGAAGGAAAATGTCCCCCTTTTTGTCTTCCAATGTATTAACATAATGCTGGATGAAAAGCCTCATTCTTTCTTAAAAAAAAAACAGTTTTGCAAGTATTCAATGAGAGGGTTAATGTGAAACAAAACATGAAAAATTATCAAAATATGGCAAGAAATCAAGGTTGCCACAAGAGCCGTCAAATTATTCCAATACTCAACTAGCCCCAGTTTTCTATAACTTAGTATTACAGTAGTGTGGCCGTCATGTTATTTGATAGCTAGATAGCTAGATAGATAGATAGATAGATAGATAGATAGATAATTCATAGATAGATAGATAATTCAAATTCTTGTGTTTCATGACATGGCTTGAATAGATATCACATTTAAAAAAGACAAAACCTTCCTGTTAAATATAGACAACCATCATCATCTGATTGCAAGACCTTTAAATTTTGTATTTATGCACGAAGAAAGACGGAATTTTCCTTTTGTTGGTGATGCATTCAAGAGTTTTCTGAAACATCATAATTCCGTATGTAAAAAAAGCATTACTGGCTACTAATTAGTAAATAACCGATGATGAGAGTTATTTGTTTATGGATTCATAAAGCCGAATTGTATTGTATTACGACAAGCAAAGGAAAATATACAGCCCTGAATTTTAAATCATGATAATAACGTTTTATATGTGCTCCTTTTTCTCTACGTGCTGTGAAACCGAAATGTCGCATTTACCAAGCCGCACCTGAAAGCAGCAGCGGAGGGAGGAGGAAGCTGCGCGCCGAGCTAACTGTTGTTGCATGGTGCACACCCTACCAGTGGGCTAGTCGGTGAAAGCGTGCGATAAAATGTCTGGGAAGAGTTTTCGAGTCAGCGACGGAGACTGGATTTGTCCTGATAAAAAGTAAGGGCTCCACTTGACGAATTAAGATCACAGTTTTTGTAAAAGTCGTGCAAATTTGCAGGAGACGATAGCCGAAAGCGCTAGCTGTGCTAAGAGACGGACGCTAGTTAGCTTAGGCCAAGGACCTGTGTTACGCTAATGCTGACAAGCTAAGTAGCTCACGTCAACCTTATTTCTAGTTTTTACTCATCATTAAAGAAGATATATGCATCACATTAAGTATGAGTAATGATAAGTGCGTTTGAGGTTATAACTCTAACTTGTTAGTGAGCGGACTTTAAGGATAGCTGGCTAGGTGTAGTTAGCATCTGTGGGTTGGGGTGAAAGTCCATCCACACACGCTATTATGGGGGGTGTTTATAATGTTGCAGAAGCCAAGTTCTCCTCAGAGTCTAACTTGGGTCGTCTGCTATATCATATTGCGACTGACCTGCTCAAAACAGTGGGACGTGACAGACATGCCAGCTGCAGTCGTCAGTGGAAAGGCCTTTAACACAGGAGTATCAGCACACATGTGAAAAACTTACTGCGTTGTCTTATTTTTAGCATTTTTAACCTTAAGTTTATGACTTAGTGAGAGTGCATTGCATCATTATTATTAGGTTTTAATAATATAGTTGTTTGTTTGTGTCTTTTCAGGTGTGGAAATGTTAACTTTGCAAGAAGAACTAGTTGTAACAGATGTGGTCGTGGTGAGTCTCTGTCATTGTAAAATATTTTATAAAAGTGTGCATAAAGAAAACAGAAGCTGCAATGTTGATTTTTTTTTTTTTCTTTTTTTCTTTTTGTCTTCACAGAGAAAACCACAGAGGCGAAAATGATGAAAGCAGGAGGGACAGAAATTGGGAAAACTCTAGCTGAGAAAAGTAGAGGCCTCTTCAGTGCAAACGATTGGCAGTGCAAAACGTAAGAGTTCATTACAATGTTATCTGAGATGTGGGGGGAAAAAATGTCTCTGAATCTGTATAATACTAATTTTCTGTCCTGTTGTGGTCCTAAAGATGTGGTAATGTGAACTGGGCAAGGAGGTCAGAGTGCAACATGTGTAACACGCCAAAATACGCCAAGCTTGAAGAGAGAACAGGTATTTTTTATGAATACATACAATTGAACTGATTTTTTGTAGCCTGTGGAATACCTGTTGTTGATGTTTTTTTCTATCTTGCCTTTCAGGTTATGGTGGGGGTTTCAATGAAAGGGAAAATGTAGAATACATTGAACGGGAGGAATCTGATGGTGAATATGATGAGGTGAGTCCATCTGTAAAGGGACATTTTGAATAGTTGTAGATGAAAGAAGGTACTGCAGGCAGTAGTGCTATACTGGGTCAGAAATGGTGAAAAAGTAAGGAGCACACTAAGAATTTCAGGGGCACAATGAAAATTGATCAAATTACATGTGTCTTATTGGTTGAAATAAGTACTATTATTTGAAATCAATTTTAGGTCTTTTGGTCACATGACATGGAAGCTATTGACATGAAAAATCATTTGTTGCCTCAGCTGATTTTTTTATGCCCACATGTGCCCCTAACTACATTTTACAATTCGCACACATCTATTTTTAGTCGCAAATGCAAGTGAAACGGTTGCACTGTCGAGCCCTGGTCTAGGGGTTATGTGCAAATCAAGTTCATGGTAAAAATTTGCAGTTGAAACTGAAACTTGAGGCAGTGTTTTGCAGTACAAACAGTTTTTGTTGAAGGTGTAGGTTTCAACACCATTGCATTCATCTAAGTCCATCAGAAGTTATAGACACTAGACAAGAGGCATTTCCAAAACACCTTTCTCAACACTTTTTGTAGGGACTTTATATGCATATAACTGGGACATATTTTCAGTAATTTGACCATTTTTGATAGTTGAAGCATCGAATAGACAGACTGAAAATTATATGTAAATATTTTGCAGGTGAAAACACATTGTCCTAAAACTGTAAGACAAAATTTGCATTTTTGAAGCTGTCTTTTCCTGATGAGCAATGTGCCCTCTTGTCATTTTGAAGTTTGGAAGGAAAAAGAAAAAGTATCGTGGAAAGACAAACAGCACATCTTCCTCTAAAGAGGTCGAGAAGAAAGAAGTAGCAAAAGCTGAAGCTGTAGATGATGATGAGGAAGAAGATGAGGAAGATGAAGATGGTGACCTCTCAAAGTACAAACTGGATGTAAGTTTGCTGACCGGAGCTTGAAAATAATACACAAATATCACAATACAAGCCATCACTAATGATATTCTCTTCAGGATGATGACGAGGATGAAGACGAAGATGGAGACCTGTCAAAGTATGACCTTAATGCCAGTGAGGATGAGGATGGTCCAGCTAAGAAAAAGGACAGCCGCTCGGGTTCGTCCCGTTCCCGCTCGTCTTCGCGTTCCTCCAGTTCCAGTTCTCGGTCGAGGTCCAGGTAAAAGGGTACAGGTCAAGGGTAACTCCGGGCAAAATGTCTGTATCAGCTCAATCTTCTTCTGATTCACTGATCAAAGTCAATAACATGCTCTGCTGATTTGTTGTTTTGTCTCCTCTCAATCCCTTCCCCGCTATCATGTCGTAAACTTCATGTACAGACAGGTTCATGTACTTCGCTAGTATTTTTTTTTGTGTGTGTTTTTCTTTGACAAGTGTAAATTCCACATCGTAGTTTTTAAAATGCATTCCAGCTCCCTGCTCTTTTCATCTACTAGTTAACTTGCTAAGTTCTTTTGGGGGCTCCTGTAAACAGGGGTTAGTAGTTCTACTTTATATGTGTATGTATAAATATATATATACATATGCATATATATGCTCATCAGTAAAAAAAAATATTTTATTGAAGTACTTAAAAAGGTTTAAACACTTACAAATGTCATGACTGCGTTGCAGCGTGAACCAACTAGTAAATGTTGCTGTTCGAAAATATTGGAGAGACTCTGTTTTTGTCTTTCAGGTCCCGCTCTAGAAGCTCATCCAGCTCCAGATCTGGATCTCGCTCAAGGTCCCATTCCAGGTGAATGAGGTGACATGCACTCTCTCCCTAAGAGAGTGTATGTATTGAGCGGAAAGCTCCAGAATAGTTCCTATTCCTAAATTCAAGATCGAAAAAGTTTAGGTAGCTCTCACGCCGCTATCGTCCTGTTCACTTAATAAGTAGAAGGTTGTGTTTGCATGAAATTTCAAGGCATATTCTTAAAGGACTTGGGTGGTGTTCGATTACTGGTTCTTTAAATTAGACTTGGAAATGAGAGATGTACATCTTGACTACCTGAATGTAGTTCAAAGATCACTGAGGTGTGAAGTCTCTAGATATTTGGGGTCTTTATCAAGTATCTCTTTAGTAATATTGTCTCAGTAACTTAGATTATCTCTAAGATGATCAAAACCTTCCCAAGTAGATATTGTGAAGTCTTGAAGCACACATTCATAATCCATAATCCAGTCTTCCAAATCAGAGAAGCTTGATAAATACCCACACACTCAAGACCTGGACTTGACCTTACTGACCTCAGTGCTTGGTTTATTCCCTCAAAAGATCCAGCTCCAGGTCTGGCAAGGGCTCCTCTCCGCGGAAGAGGTCCCGCTCACCTTCCTCCTCACCTGAGAGGAGACAGAAGCGCAGTCGCTCCAGGTCCTCATCTGGAGGGAGAAAGAGGAGGCGTTCTAGATCCCGTTCGTCCGAAAGGTTTGGGTTTCTGTGGAATACCACAAGGCACTGATTATTGTTAGCCATCTGTCGCCTGGATTATGGGAACTAAATTATGACTTGTAACTTATTTGCGAAGTAAACCTTGTGACTGTCTACTTGTTTAAAGTCAGCGTCTGAATTTCAAAAGCTTCACCCGCTGACCTTGATCCTCTTCCCTTGGTGTTTTTGTTTTTTTAATTTCAGGCGCGGCGGACAGTCCTCTGGATCCTCCCATTCTGGTTCCAGTTCAAAAAAGAAATAACTGTATTACAGCCTTAAATCCAAGAAAAGGAACTTCAACTCAAGTGCATGTTGTGTTGCAAGGAAATCAACCACAGTCTTTCAGTACAGTGTTCAGCTCCATTTATAAAAGTCCTATTTCCTTTTAAGGAGACAGCAGTTAGATGGCCCATGACTCACCATTACATGCTCCCGTTTCAAACTACAAACTCCCCCAGTCCTTCACACGTGTCTTTAACTACAGGTGTAATTTAACATACATGTTTGATCCTGTAATATCAGATATACTCTGCAGAGGCTGTATTACATTTGAGTCCCTCTTTCTGATATCTCTGTGGCAGTCTGTTTTATTCAACCATCTGTGAAAAAGGAGCGAGGAAACATCAGATTTTTTTGAATGAACTGCAAAAAGCACCAATTTAGAATAAACCAGATCTGTAGCAAAATAAGCCCCTTTTTTATGTTCTTGGTAAATTTAATTTTTTTCCTTTTTTTTTTCTTTTCAAGGTAAGTATTTTTGATTGACTTTTGATATTGCTTGTTTAAGTCATTGCCAGGTAGTCTAATGAAATTCAATGGTAGTTCATTGAAGTCTTTTTCTTTAAACAGTTGTCAACTTCTCCACCAATCAAATTGAGTACTTTTAGAGAGTTGATGAAATAATGAAATTAAGAGAACATCATGCTCCAGATGAGTTTACTAAAAAACATAGAGTATGTCTAGATCTACGGTAGAACATGATTAAACAACTCAAATGTACAATGTAAATAAAATCCTGTCAACATTGTTTCTCTGTGTTTGTGTTTGTCTGGTTAAAATGGTGCTGGACAACAGGTATATGAAGCTTTCATAGGTATGTTGGCATTATGTTGATCTAATGCATTACACAAGTATAAGTGTTGTGTCATAGAGGTTATTTTGATTATCTTGGCATGCCAAAATTAGTCTGTTTTAAATGTTAATAGACAATCCAGGACCGAATATGTCTCTTGTTTACTCATGAGAAGTCAAATTCAGTGCCACAGATTTTAAAGCGCTGACTGGCTAATTTCATAGATTTATGTGTTCTGTGTGAAAAGCAGGAACTTGACGCTGTCATTCCATGTTTGGTCAACAGGTGGCACTGGTACATCTAGGTTATAACCGCAGGAAAGTGTTGAAATAACTCCAGTGAGATGTTTGTTGAAAATGATCATTTCAGTGTTACAGAGTTAACAGTATGTTATGTCCCTCACTGTTACCAACTTGTGGGCCAGAAGCACAATGATACGGAATGGTTAGAACGCGGTGTACATTAATTTTGTTGTAACACGACGGCGCCTCACTTGTTTGAATTATAATGGATTGTAGTAGAAGTGAGTGACAGCTCGTGTCTGCACGCTTTTAATTGAGAATAGGTAGGCAAATATTTATGTCATGGAAATCCAATAGATTATGCCTTTTTGTCGATATCAGCTCCCCATAACATAAACTAGAATGCAACCAGGCCTATGCAAGACTTAATCCACATTTAATTCAAAATTACTGTCAAATTTATTAGGTGGCTTTGTGAGAAACAATTTACAATTTACCATTTCATTTGGACAAGAACTTTTTTGCTCACTTGGTAAACATTGGGTCATTTGCTGAACAAAAAATAGTTTCTTTATCCAGTTATCACATGTGGTGAGTCAGCCCTTATGCTCGCTGCTTGTGATGATAATCTGTATCTCCACAGCTGCAGGTCAGAAACAGGTGCGTTCACCGTAGGGACACGCCTTTCCAAAGTACCGCCTACGACGTGGAAGTTTTTGTACAACGTGTTCACAAACTGGTTTCACACTCCAGTAAGCGTGTGTAAAACCACATGTAGCCTCAAAACGTGAGCTCCCCCGAGACCCCTTAGTCCCGCCTCCAGCGCGTAAAGGACCCCGACGCGCTTTTACGCACTGCATTAGTTGGAGTATCTTGTGGCGCAAGAGGATGCAGGACACACACTCCGGTTGTTGTCTTCTGAATATTGGCTTACCCTGTCCAGTAGGATGACAAAAGACGGTTGTGATTCAATTGAGAGCTTTTCAACCACTATTGGAGCGATGCTGGGCTCCAATGTTTCCAAGTCATTGCGCGAAAGCAATGTCACCAAGAACTCCAGCTGTGGATCTGTATCAGTTGGTTTCCCTATTTCCATGATGATCACTGGTATGGTGGGCAATACGTTAGCTCTCATCCTGGTGTGTATCTCTTACAGAAAGAAGGAGAATAAAAGGAAAAAGTCTTTTCTGCTTTGCATTGGATCTTTGGCATTTGTTGACCTGTTTGGACAGCTTTTGACGAGTCCAATTGTGATATCTGTTTACAGAGCCGACCTGAAGTGGGAGCGCATTGACTCCTCTGGAAATCTGTGCGCCTTTTTCGGTGTGTGTATGACAACTTTTGGTCTGTGCGCTCTTTTCTTGGCCAGCGCCATGGCAATTGAAAGGGCAATGGCAATAACAAACCCGCACTGGTACTCCAATAACATGAAGACAAGTGTGACCAAGCAGACTCTGGTTGTCATCTGGTGTCTTGTGTTGCTCTTTGCGCTGTTGCCCATCGTAGGGGTCGGGAAATACACGCTTCAGTGGCCGGGCACCTGGTGTTTCATCAGCACCGGGGACCGAGAAATACCTGGAAATATGTTTTTCGCCATCACTTTCGCAGGGCTTGGAATTTTCTCTTTGCTTGTTACACTTTCCTGCAACGTGGTGACAATTAGAGGCTTAATCGTCCGCTGTAAAACCAAGAGTGGGACGTCTCAGTCGTCAAAACAGTGGGAACGACTCACCACGGAGACTGTCATTCAGCTGCTGGGGATTATGTGCGTCCTGCTCATATGCTGGTCTCCACTGCTGGTAGGCGTTTTCTACCCTTACGATTCTTAGAGCACAAAAACCCTCAAGAGTGGAGATAATGCAAAAATATTTCTATATGTTTTCTAAAGGTGCTTATCATTCAGTTGAAGGTCCAGTACCATAAATCACTATTTAATTGGATATCTCAAATGTTTTTTATTGTCCTAATGTCTGTCACAACCAGCTGCAGGTCTCTAGAGATGCTTCATTTCCTGTTGCCCCAAATCACTCCCTCAATCACTCACCCTTTATTGCTCTATTTTCCTCCCTCTGACCCACACACTACAACACAAACCACACAATGCTGCTATATTCTTATAATTCATTTGAAAAACTGCTGCCATTTTCCATTATGGATAAATCTACTTAGCCAGGTTCTGTTTTGGGGGTTCTGCTTAGCGCCATGAGGTCATGCTTTGTCAATCATATATTTAATAGTCCCACCAAGGATATAAATAGAAGCCACAGCAGTGTGGTTGTGGTGTTGTCAGAGGGTGAGTAGCTGGAGTGTGAGCGTGTTGTTTTTCTCCAGGTTGTTTGATACCGCCTCTCAGGATTGTCTCGGTTTGTCTCATTAAATATTCAATCTTGCACAAGACGGGGGTATCAGAAACTATGATCAGCTAACCAGTGAGCAAAAAATAAAAAAATCTATAATCTATAAATCTATCTATCTATAAATTCTGTCATATTTAAAATTCTGTAGATCATATTTGCTGTAATGCACGTGATGAAATGCCACGTGGAACAAACAATGTGTCCTTGCTTCCCTCCAGGTTCTGATGCTGAGGATGATCTCCACCCAAGTTTCCTCCCACGAGTGTAATTCCACAGCAGTGAATTCCAGCAACATGTCCGGCCGGGATGTCCACTTTGACTGTAACTTTTTCCTCACAGCGATCCGCTTGGCCTCCCTCAACCAGATCCTGGATCCCTGGGTGTATCTGCTCCTCAGGGAGATCCTCCTACGCAAGTTCTGCCTAGTGGCTAATGCGGTGTCTAACTGCTCTGTGGAGGATCACAAGGAGACCCCTGCTGCTTTAGATGCACTAAACAAGCAAAACCAAGATGGCAACAACCTTCATAAACAAGAAAGTAGCTAAAAAAAGCCTTCTGAAGAAAGGAAAGACTCAAAATGGATATACTTGGAATGGATCATTGAAGCATTTTCCTTGGAAAGAGAGCAGATAAGAGCAGGCGCTGTAACACTGTTTAAATACTAACCCAGCTGAGAGTGGTCAGGATGCTTTTGTTGTGCCTAAACACATTCCATTAAAAGTCACCAAACCAGCATGCAGATGCATGACCGTGTCATTTGGCAGCAGCCTGACTGCTGCGATTTCCATCATTGACCACAGCATCTCCCAGGCTTGAGACCTGAGCAATGGTGACTCTAAAATGACTTAATATGGAAGTGGTACATCTTACACCCTTTCTGGATGTGAAACAACTTCAGGCCGTAATTCTACTGACGGATTTATGGTTTGTATGTGAATGTCTGTAAATAATTTTAAAAAATGACTGTAAATAGCCTTAAACTCATTTGTAAATATCTCTGACATGAAATGTTACCACAGTGTCAAAAGGATGGTCATTGAAATCATAAACTGGAGCCAAATGTTGATTGTGAGGTTATTTATAAGTGTGAAAAGTAAGAAGAAAGATGGTTGTTTCTGTGCTGAATGTAAATTTTTATGCTTAAGTTACATGGTGTTTATCAGCTTGTAGAAAAGACTGTGAAATGTGAAGCTGTTACTTTGTTGGCACTAGTGAAAAAAAGTGCAAATTTTCCAGGCAATCATTCTTTGAACTTCTAAACCACAATAATGAATGCATAAGTGTTTGTGAGGAACGGCAGAAGAGATTCATGATTTAAAATTATGAGAGAGGAGACGACAGAGCCTGATACTGGACTTACAGGGCTTTAAAGCTCACTGTATTATTGTGCATTTGTATTATTGATTATTAATTGCTATAATTAGATGGCATTAAGTATTTTTCATTTCATTACCATTTTGTGTTCACACCAGTCTTTTCTGTTTGTTCGAGTTCCCAATTTGAAGTGCATAAAATTGCTAGTAAACTGCTGCGCTGTAAGTGTAAAAACAGTTATTGGCCACAAAACATTTGCAATTTAAAGCACCAACAAAAGAAAATACATTACGTTATTATGCAGAGATAACTGCTGGCTATATATATGTAGCAACACAGCAAAAATACTTCATCTAAAATAACTTCTACCTCTGGTAAAAATGGTAAAAATATTAAAGCATTTTGAGGTGGCGCCTGGAGCCACCAATCCAATTTCAAGGGGGGCCTGTGCCACCCAGAGTCAATTTGTCTAGTGGTGCCCCTGAGAGATCCCTGGGCTTGTTTCTTTGGATTAGATGAGGAGTGTACTTCACATCATCCATTGAGAGTATGTGGGAGTAGGAGTAATATTGGGGCACTCCTTTGACCACTTCGGTAAATGAGAGTTGTCTTCTAAGAGGGTGCAGGGCTGATGAGCTGGACTGTAATAGAATGAAGATAGTCTAGACCTTTTAAAACACGGTCACCCTAAAATAAGAGAATGATTAAAAAGCTTTTCTAGCGCATTTGATGCTGTTCTTGAGCTGCTGCATACAGTGCAGCAGGACATGCTTTCACCAGTGTTACATGATTATTAAGTGCACAAATTTAAGCCTTTCTTTTATGACAATCGCCTCCGACATGTTGATTGGTGTTAGTATTTCATCTTTTTTTCTGGTGAAACCACGTCCCAGAGACCTTGATTCTACCTCTGAATAAAAGTAACTATCAATTTATTTTTATGTGTACAATTTCATTGAGGTCGTAGGTGGAGGTAGTATTTAAAATAAAAGGGGTTACTATGTGCCAAATGATTAGATACCATTGACCAAGAGTGCTGCTGCAGGCAATGAAGATTTAATCTTTTTACAGCGATGTACTCCTATTCTTTTAAGACTCAACTTCCTGTAATTATATTTGAATATTTCCTGCATCAAAGACATTGAAGACGTTTGAAGGATGGTCACATCTATATTAAGTTATGGGTGAATTCGTCACACCAACATCATATCTCTGCCTTCTCAGCACATCAACAAGATTAAGTAGACTTACTGTATGTACACTCTGCTACCCGGTCACGCCTTTGCCTTTGAAATGTGTGAATATCAACCAGCTTGGTGATAATTAAGAGACAGGAAATTGCCATAGGCCTGAGAACAGTAAACGAGATTTTTGCTCCCGTGTTGATCCCATATGTTATTAAGTAAAGCCGTTCTGTCTTTAAGGTGACAACACTAATTGCTTAAAGAAATTGAACAAAAATGGTTTGAAAAGGGACCAATAATTTAGAATTAGTTTTGATTATCTATGGGCCAATTTCAAGCTATTAGTTTGCAGAATTGAATATTTACTTTTCTACCTTGTGAACATAAAATGATTTACATATCCATCAGCCGTCAGGTTCACTGATGCAAAAGTACCATCAGTCTAACCCAAGATCACTTTAATGAACGCCTCACTGATTTACTTCCTGCTTGGCTTCATGAATTTTTATGTAATGCATATTCTCACCTTTTGCAACTATCAATTTGTACTGCAACAACAGCAACACCTAGAATTTAATTTATGCATTTGAAATAATGATTGCATTAATTTGCATGGTCCAGTATAGGATACAGAGAGGGGTTATGATGCACTTACCCTCCACTTGGATGTGTGACATAATTATCTCAATTCAGTCCACAAGACTTTGATGCTTCTTGCTCTTCAGTCAAGAAAAAAAAACACAATTAAATGTCTTCTCAGGGCCAACGGGCTCTACAGGCCTTTGTAAATTTTCCATGGTGCTACATCCCACCAACCCCTACACAGGGAAGTAAAACAGCAGAAGAACAATTCTCTTGTTGCTAATAGAAAACTTGATGCTTTTCTGCTCTCCCAAATGGACCCAGTAAAAGCCTATACAATGTTTACAGGGAGTACTTCCTCTAATTCTGCATTAATGGAATATGAACATCCATCAAAAGTGGGGGCACTACACAGTAATATGAGATGAGTGTATCTGAAAACTCCAGTTTATTGATCCACATGGTGCAATCTACAAAGACGATAATAGGTAATGTGTGACTCATTAAAAGATTTGGCAAAGTCTCATTTGCCCCCTGCAACAATCATGCAATTACATATTCACCTCTTACAGATGTGACACTGTGGAGACTATTAAACCTCTGGCTGTCTGGACCCTGAGGTTGTTTCGAATCACGTGCCTTAGTGCTCATTTGTGTGAGGAATAAGCCATTTCAGCAGGCAGTTCCTGGACCAGCATGGTAGGGAGTGTACAATTACATAATGATTTGAAAACAGGCTCTATGAGGTCTGGAGAATCCGGCGCTGCCAGCTGGCTTCATCTCTCTCACTCAAGTCACTAATGCATGGAAGTGATTTACTGATGGCCTGAACAGTCTCCTGGTGGTTTGAGATTTCAAGACAAGGAGAGATGGTTTGATAAAATGTTTGTTCATTCAATATTTTACACTTGTGCAAAAGGTTTTCATGCTCATGCTTTCATTTCTACATGTGATACTGAATGATTTAAGCCTCCTTTGAACTCATCTCAAAGCTCACTCTTTTTAATATCCAAGACTTTACCTTATAACTTCTTCCAAAAATGTCACTTCATCATAATCGGTTTAGTTTACCCTTGGATGAACAGCCATGTGTATCATGTCTGTGAACCTGAAGCTGCAGAAGAAGAAATAATCATATGAACTTATTGTGTTGCAACGGTTACTTTTCTTACATGATATAGAGAATAGCTAGTGTCTATTGTTGCAGAACTATATAAAAATCCCCTTACAAAGAAATCATGGACAGCCCGAAGGTTAACATGCTTTGTATCTTGAGCCTTTCACTATAAAGATACATAATGATCCTTTGAAAAAAACAAACATCTCTCCTTGTGAAAGTTATTTGGCATCTGCTGAAGGCACAAAAGAGCCTAAGATTTATGTTTTTATGCTTTAAGTATCTCTCTCGACTTTACACGTGATGTTTCATATGTGCATACCGTTCTGTGCAAACAGGTTTGGCCCACCAGCCAAGGCTTAAATGATGAATGTAAGTAATTTCTTGATGTCTTTGAAATGCTAATGCGTTTCTTTTTTGTTATGCTTTTTTAAATGTTAAGCAAAAACTTTTTCCACTCTGACTGAAATATTTCTAATCTCTGAACTCTGGGACACGATTCTCAGATGAGGGCTATAACACGCTTTCATACGGCCACTGTAACCAACGCCATTGTGTCTTTCACTCTCCAATTATCTGAGGAATGTCATACATTCTGCAACCTCTTTTGTTTCCTCCTTCCGATGTGTTGACATGCCTGTCATAGATAAGATTACGTAATATGTTGCTGATATGAAAAGAGAAATACCTCCCCACCTTTCACAGCGTCCTTTCGGTACGTTTATGTCTTTGTCCTCTACTTGACTTGTATCAGATAAACATGCAATGCACTTTTGATTCATTTTGTCGCAGTGATTCCAGCCTGTGATGGTGTAATATTGTGATTCTATTAAAGGACATGTTTATCCCGGGTGTGTTGGGATTTTGTGGCTGCTGGAGCATGTTTTCCAATTAAATATTCATACATCATCAGTGTCATACTAATTAACTACCCGCTGAAACGGAGTGTACAGTCATTTTCAACGACAGTGGCCCCCTGGTGAGCTCTGGATAGTCTGAGCCAAGAAATGTATAATAAATAAATTAAAACGGAGAAATTGAGTAATGTGGGTGTTATTGTTTCATTCAGTATAAAAGTCACACAACCTCACCATGTGTGTCCTCTAGTTGATTCAGGCTGGAGATGTTTCTTGCATGCCACTTTCCTGTGTTTCTCCTAGTTTTTACTGTCACAATCTCGGCATAAAAGGGACTCCAACTTTTCCCAAATGTTCATCTTTTGTATTCTTGAACTAGCTGACATTTTACACTCTGTTGTGAAGTAAAAAAAAACATTTCTTTCTCTCTCCCAGTGAGTCATTTTGTCTGCATTCACACAGCTTGACTTCTGAGGATAACAGTATAACTT